TGGGCAACTCCTATGATCATGTCTGGCGGTGCATCTTCCAGCAGTCAGCAGCAGATAATTAGCTCCATATTTGGGGAGTCTATTGATCCATATGCCCATTTGAGCAGTAAAAATGATCAAGCAGAACAGCACACCCCGGATATACCTGTTAGATCATTTGTCAGGGATGAAATTGATCCATCTGATGACTTCTTTGCAGCGGCCACACATGAATTTGACTTCACATCCCAAATGGATGCAAAATCGTCATTACCCCCTGGCACTTAGGCTACCTCACAGGGATGCGAGGACGAGACAATGGCCTCCCAGATCGTAGATTGTTTATATAATGGTTATTGTTATGAATGCACTTTATGTATACAGTTTTATTGTAATTGAATGTGGTGATGTATTATGGACGTTATTTTATTTATATTTGTTTGTTGGTGGTTTATATTCGTTATTACTTACTACACAGAAACAACCATTATATATCACAGAGCGACAATACATACGTTTTATTATAAAATCTCAGGGAACGTTAACGGACTGATAATATAAGCGTAAGGATGTGGAGTTTATCTACGACCATTCATTGGATATTTACACGTGCAGGACATGATCGTCTATTGTGCCCAATCCTTCCACAAACACTGCACTTAGTACGACTTGAACTGGATTCTACTTGATCCATCTCGTTATGAATGCGAGTACTCTTAGGACGTCCCTTTGCTCGCAAACGTTGTGGATCGAGCAGAAGTATCGGTCCAGTATACGGTGGAATCGCTTCCTCATGGCCGATTGGAAACCAAGGTGATGCATACACCTTATTAATATGTTGGATGGAGTAACATGGGTTCACAAAATTCTCAGTAGACATTCCCATCTTCAAACAAACAGCCCTAACATGGCTGCATGGATATTTAAACGCTTGAAATTTTCCACACTGGCATTTCCTTTCGTTCAAGTACAGTGACAACGAATAACCCCCTTTCTGTGTTATTGGGTTATATGGTTCTTCCACTTCAAATAAGGTTGATTCTCTATTAAAGGCACGGACAATGTGTGATGAGGCAGCAGCTGCTTCTCTCTCCATTCTAAGGTGGGCGTTGTGGCAAAACTTAATACCGGCAGCAACATAAAGACTAGCTTCGTGACCTCTCTTTACAAAGTAATGCACAAGCTTACTGTAGGTATGTTTAACCAAAGCTGTGATTGGCATCCCTCGAGCCCCCTTAAAAATGCTATTTACGCATTCAGATAAATTTGTTGTCATATGACCATAACGACGTCCATCCACATCATATGCACGACTCCATTTCTTCTTCGGGATGCTGTCAATCCACGTTGCTACCTCTGGACTATTGCTCCAAAATTCCTCCAACTTAACATCAAAATTGACCTTTGATGGAGTATAACCTGCATTTTAACAACCAATGAAAGCATTATTTGAGAGAATTCATACAATATACACGGATAAGTAAAAGTTATTCATATCACCTAGATTCTTCAATTGACTTTTCCACTCCTCATTTTTGAATCTTTGATTGAAGTTACTTCCAACATGTCTCAGGCAAAAAACATGGTATGCTTTTGGAGGCTGCCAATCAAGATAAGGGTTTGCAACTGCCGATAATATTCCTCGATGTCGATCTGATATTAGGCATATACCTGTTTTTTGAGTGACATACAAACGTATACAAGACAAAAAGTATTCCCATGACTCCTTGGTTTCACCTTCTACCACTGCAAATGCCAATGGTAATACCTCGTCGTTTCCATCCTGTGTTGTGGCAATCAGCAATGTACCTTTATACTTCCCATATAAATGAGTGCCATCAACTTGTATAACAGGTTTGCAGAAGTTGAACGCGTCACAACATTGCTTAAAAGTCCAGAAGATTCTATGAAAAACCCGGGAACCAGTCACAACACGGTGATTGACCACGTAATCATTTGTCTGAATGTGGTAAACCGAACCCTCAGAAAATGCCAACATGTAATTCAACCATCTGGGCAAATAAGCATAAAACTGGTCCCAATCGCCATATATTTTTGCCATGGCTTTTTGTTTAGCCTTCCACGCCTTCCTGTATGAAATAGTGAATCCATAATTGTTTCGGATTCTTTCTTGTATCAAACTGATTGATACATGAGGTTCTTCCTTCACTATTTCTGCCAAAACAATATACATACATAACCTTAATAGCTTGCTGAAGTGGATATAAAACTTGAGAAATACAAATTTAATTGGACAAAAACACTCACCTAATATCGTCGAAGAAATAAAGGCGGAATCAAGTTGTCTGTGATCTTGGGACAGATTACAAGTGACACAATTGTGAGGTCCCTCCCATCTACTCACAACCCACATTAATCCATTTTTTGGTTTCATTGCCCTCATTCGCCATGGACACGCCGACTCATGGTTCCTGCACCTCAATACTAGCTTCATAGTCGTGCTCTCAACAACAATAGCTTCCTTATTAATTTTCATACAATATGACTTAACTGCCATCTGCACTGATTCCTTAGATTCGAATTCTTGTTTAACAAACAACTCATCCCCAATGGCCCATGCACCATGATACTCCCTCTCGTTGTATTCTCGATCTTCATTCGGATACTCATAATTAATGTATGAGTAATGTGATATTCCATTCCAAAACGGCGTCACATTAGCACCTACATTGGGAGTTACATTGTCACCTACATAACATACAAACAACTAAAACGTTAATTGAACTACATAATGTAGATTGTAAATTTATTTAAATAAATCACTTGTCAACTAACCTTGAACCATATTTTCATACCCAACGATACCCGTTGATGTGGATTCATTGACGTTGCTTTGAAACCCTATAGGCATATCAGATGGATTATGATGGTCGTCATCTTCGCTAGCTGAGTCATCGTCATTAATGTCGGCTGCCAGGCACGCATCCTCGTCTTCTTCTTCTTCGTCATCGTCATTACGGTCATATGTTGGCATGTCCACATCATCAAATAACGCACTGTTGGGTGCATCTGGAAGTACAGATGATGATGCATGTCTGTTTAAATAATCAATGACTGGTGTTGTATTCAGATCAAGCGACCTTTGCGGTACTGACAAATCATCGGTATTTTCAAAATTTACATATATCTCCACAAACTTTCTACCATTTGTATGATCAGAACTCGTGTCAGCTTGTTCCACAAATATGTCTAATATAATATCAACATCATCATCATCTGTAATAGATATCGCTATGTATTCAGAATTGCCAGCAAAAGCTCTTACGGTGACTTCATAAATACGTTGATTCCCTTGTAATCCCAATTTCTGATGAATGTTCGCTTTCAACTGCGCAAAGGTAGTACCGCGTGTAATACGCATTGGTCGTTTTTCACCTTCAAATGTTACACCACGACGACCCATAATCTTTCTACCATTATAATATATAAGTGCACGAACTGTTTGTAAATTTGAACTCATTTTTCCTGCAAAAAATTCCACAAAAGATAGAAATACAAAATATTTAATATGGTAGAAACAATGTAATATAATGCAATATAACAAAACTACTACTTAGTGCAACGTATGAAATAATATTACCTGAGGTGCCTTGAAAATGTCTTTATTTTTTTACATACAACATATAATTACTATGATAATTTTTTAGTGGAAAATAAATACTAAAGTATAAAGCATACATGAAATAACAAATAAAAAGCATGATTGACTATGAACATAATCTGATATTCATAAATTTATTTTTTCATATTACAAAAAACACTTCAACTAAGCAACAGAGAAAGTATGGAACATTGAGTTTGAAATACTATTTTTTCCATAAAAGAACAAACAACACAACTCAACGTTTTTTTTTTCCACAAGAACAAACAACGCTCGACGTTTTTTTTCCATAAAAGAACAAACAGCTCAACATTTTTTTTTCCATAAAAGAACAAACAGCTCAACATTTTTTTTTTCCATAACAAAACAAACACTTCAACAAAAGTATAGAACAAAGATAGATACCAGAAGGCCTTAACGCTTAGTGAAATGCAGAGGCAAACTGATGATATGGGGACCGGGAGTGGTAGTTAATATAGGCCCGGACACGGTTGGGGAAGAGACATTTTCAGGACTCCCACAGTCCATGGAGAAATCTGATTGGCTAATTGGACGCGTTTGAACTAGCGTCACGTTTGTTTTGAAATGACTAACCGGAACATGTTTGATTACCTACCGCGTGTGGTGCATCGTGGACTGACCGGAAGTGACTGGTTGCAAATGACGCGGCAGTTAATATATCACGTCTTAGGACACGGTACAGAACGTAGCAGAGACGTGGTAGGGATGGTATCACGTCTTAAGGACAACGGTACAGAATGTGCAGGGACGTGGTAGGGATGGTATCACGTCTTAAGGACAACGGTACAGAACTAAGGACACGGTACAGAACGTAGCAGGGACGTGGTAGGGATGGTATCACGTCTTAAGGGCACGGATAACGGTGCCAAAATATTGTACAGAACGCGACATTGATCGTATCACGTCCTTAAACGTCAATTTCCCAACCGCATTGTCATGCATTATATTGGCAAAACTTTTCATCCACAAATTATTCCGGTGATACATTTTAAAACTCACATCATCATGGTCAAAAGTCCCATGCAATCAGGGTTGGATCATGTACGGTTTGTTACTGGTTTCACAGTCCCACAAGTTTCATTAGATTACTATGCACATGTTCTACAAATAAATTAACACAACAAACTTGAAATTTTTTGCCGTAGGAAAGCAACTACTCATAAATGTTTGTCAAAGATTCTGTAAAACTTGCATTAGTTATCTATGCTTCAAGAATTTCTTAAAACATTTTATGACAAGCTTATAGAATGGTAAATAGACCAAAACCGGAGATGACTATCTTTTTGCTCAGAAATAAGGCCAGCAAACTTACAACCATCAACATTGGTTCAAAAGACACAGTGCCCCAAAGGATACTGAGAAGAAGAGGTGGGTGGGAATGCAATTTACACTGCATCATACTTCAAAGGTATGTTGAGATACACAAAACAGGCAAATTAAGATTCAATGAATGCATACAAAATTGTATATTTGATCTAGTTGTATAGTAATGAACAAAAAAACTTCATTTTCTTCTTTTTCAGCCTTCATACTAATGCTTCATACATGACTTTTCATGCCATCTTGACTACATTTTAATACTATTCTGTAAACAAATAAAGCATTCTGTACTAAAACTACAAAGCCTTCAAACGTCTATTATCAATCATTCCTCATCATCAGAACTAGCATATGCCAAGCCAAGTAATCCCCCAGCAGAGACATCATTCTTAGGCTTAGCTTCTGCTTCTGCTTCTGATTCGTGTGAGGCTGATGAAGGATGTTCCTCTACTTTCTTTGAACCACACAAAGATTGCACCTCAACATTCTTTGGTCCTGACGAAGACTGCTCCTTCTCTTTTAAAGGATCATGATCAGACTTACGATTTGAATCAGGAACATTATTAGGAGCTGCGGTTGACTGATTGCTGTCAGACCTTGGCCGCTTAGGTTTAATCTCAACAACTTTCTTCAGCAGATCTTGCTGCCTATATCACAAAAACATAAATACTATGAACAACACTGGAGCCAGTAAAATGCATGGAGGGGTAAGGAATCGAAGAAAAGAAGATCTACCTGATACCACTCTTTGGCTTTGGCTCCACACGAAATGACAAGGGTACTACTGCAGGTGAAGAATCTGCTAAACTTGCAGCTCTGTATCCATTGGTGAAGGAAACAAAAAATACATACGACTTGAAAGCACAAGCAATTTTATCAGAAAAAGAAAATTTACCAGTATGACTAAATATAGCTTTCACAAACAATGAAAAAGGCAAATGAATATGTTAAAATAGAGAGGTTGCATTTGGATAAATCAATTTGGTGGAAATTATTTGGATCAGACCACCATATTCAAAATGTAACACTTGTTTAAATTCATTGAATCAAAATTCAAGACATATATAATCAGTATTACATATAGCTTGAAACATGTATTTCATTAATTCAAGTTCCTAGTTTAAGATTTGTTCAAGATTGATAAACCTATATTCTTTTTATTTTATTTAACCAAATTATAAGTAACAAAAATAATCATTTAAAAGGCAAAAGTTTACAGATAGAAGCATCAATGCCATCTGGCTTCAGAGTTACAGAAAATACACAAAAATGAGAGAAAAGTCAAATATAACTAATAGAGAAGTTGAATTGTCCACTCAGGCACATATAATACATACATTTTAGCTATGAATCATCAAAAAAATGATTAAAGTATCGGCACTATTGCATGTAACTAAATTTGAGTGACCATATATTTATAGATCCAGTATTTTAATCCTTAGTGAAAGAGAAAACAAACAAGGATGGATAGGACAGAAATCATAAATTAATAAGGATGGAAGTGACAATATATTCCTTTCTTTCAGAGTAAATGATTACCAGTAACAAAGACACCATCATGCTAGAAGATAGATCCCACACCTACATATTTTCTTCACCAGTGCACTTGCATGGTCATCTAGGTCTCAAGAAGTAAGATTCACAGCATAGTTTTCAAAACCAGACCAGACCAACTAGTTTGACTCGGTTCATGGTCAATGAACCTATTGGCCAATTTGATCAAGGCTTCAGATGCGGTGATTTGAAAACCGGCCTTGAAACTACTAAACTGGCTGTGAACTGGTCAACCCGTGCAAAGTGCAAACTAGTCACAGTTTGACTTTGACCAGTTGAGCCAGTGCATGTTTGATTGTGGCACAACAAAAAAACACGCACGGAAGGATTTGAACCCTGTTTGTGGCAATTCACACATCTACCATCATACCACTAAGCCAGGAGTCAGCTGTTAGAAGCATATGTTCAATCATTACATTTACCATACTGTGCTGACATATGAAAATAACTTCAAAGCTTCCTTAGTAAAGAATCAAGCTTGTGCTCCATACATGAGTATGAAACAACATACCACAAAAACACTGCTACATTTTGACATTCAAATATATTTTAACAAAAATTTTATTGAAGAAAATCTGTTTATTATGGCATATACTTAAATATTTATGTAGAGTAGCATTTATTCATTGTATTTCAATAATTACTGACTTATTATGTGTCATAAGTTACTTGTATCAATATATACATTTCTAAATATATTTTCTCATAATTTTAATTGAAGGGGACTAGGGCAGCCTTGCCACAGTGGTTGGTGTTGTCACTATGTGACCCATAGGTCACAGGTTTGAATCATATAATCAGCCTCTTGCAAACACAAGGTAAGGCTGCCTACTATAGACCCTTCCTTGTACCCTGCGCATTGCAGGAACTTTATAGCACCATGTTACCTTTTTTCCTCAAAATTTTAAATACGCACAGTCACACGTTATTTTTTCTACATATATCCCGGTTCAACCCTGGTCTGACCCTAAAACCTTAAACATCTCCCCTTATTGATTCACAGTTTCCAAGCAGCATTAAGAATGTAAGATGACTTTGCCCAAAACATTAAGAACTAAACATGCAGGAGAGAGTAAAACACGAAATGTGTAGTCTTAGGACATTAAAATCAGTTTGATCACAAGATGAATGAGAAGAAAACACAATATTGTTATCAGTGTCAATGACTACAAAAGGATATCTTGAAAGCAGCAAATGCTCGTTTTTCAGTGCGACGCAGGAGGCGTTCTGCATCCTCCTCAGCTTCCATTTGTTCCTTGAGATAGAGTAGGTCATCACTATCCAAGGCTGCATATGTAAACTTTAAAAAGGGAACAAAGAATCTAAAGGTAATATAAAAACAGCAGATAAAAGCATGTGGTGAAGGAGCACAAGCAAAGCAACACAAAAACACACAAAGCAAGAGAAAAAGAGCAGTACCGCCTCGCCCATGGAGGTAACCTCCACGCTCCCCAGCAACCTCTTGCATCTGCTTGCATCAGCCACCCAATACAGGAAGCCAATATCCCTGCCGGGGCAAGTTATCAGCAAAATCCCTCAAATTGCGACAAAAATCACTTGGAAGTTTGAAACAACATAGACAGACAGTACATACCCAAACGAGAAAACCAACACATAAGAACAGAATATAGTTTTGCTACATTCCTCAATCAGGGACGGTGGAGTTCAAAGAAGCTACCTACAAAGCTTATTCTAAAGCTGCTATCTCATCAAGCATACAACAATTGAAGAACAATAAACGATCAAAGAATAGCCACATGAATAGTCACAGAAACTAAATTTAGGTATATTGCAAATGCATAATAACTAATTTCAAAATAGTAGCAAACATAAATTAATAATAATAATAATAATAACCATGAGGGTTCTTTCTACCAAGCATCAAAGATTAAACTAGCTTCGAAAGCAAAAAATAAGTATACTTGAAAATGGGTAGCCAAATTTTATATAAACATGAAAAGAACGGAGGGTGAATCAATGCGCTAACCTTTGCAACCATGCGTTGGAAAGTAATGTCTTCGTCGTCAATTTTATCTTTTCCTTTACCCCATTTCTTATCTGCGAAATTAACACATACCCAGTAACTAAAAGTCACAAAAAATCAAAACTTTAACAACAACGACCCCAAAAAATCTCGAAAAAAAAAATTTCAGAATAAGAACGAAAATAGATTGCCTTTGGGGTCGCTGAGGTTGGTGTATTCTCGAACTTCTCTTCCTGCCATCTCCAACACTTTTCTCTCTGCAGAATTTCTCTGTCTCTGTTTCGATTTGCGAAGCTGATACCTTCCTTGCGAGAGGCTCTGAAAGGGGAAGATAGAAACGCTTCTAGAACATAACTGTCTTATTTATTTTATTTTTAAAAAACATTTTTTTTTTTTTTTTTACGGTTAAAAAATTAATAGGATTAATTAATTGAATTTTTATTTATTTTTTATTTGTTGTATAAGGCATAGAAACGAAAGTGAAGCTATTGTGTACTTTATTTGAAAACGTGTATTGTTTTTTAATTTTATTAATAACAAATTCGTAAAGAAATAAAATATTTAATTTAATTTAATTGAGATATATATTAATTAATATAAAAGAATCTTGTATCCATATTTATTAATGTTTAACAAATTTATTATTTTAATTGTTGATGTAAATGAATATAATGAGTCCAAAGACGAATAAATAAAATCATTGTGATTAGTTTAAGAGAAATATAAGAATCATGTTGCAGGAATAGCACTGTTCATTCCTGCAACAAGGATCCGCTTCCGTATCTTAAGGATACGGCGTCGTATCCTGATTTTGGTCTGACTTTTTTTTTAAGCGTGGGACCCACACTTGATTTGTGTGTGCAGGAAAATGCTCTAGTCATGTCAAATGACAAAAAACGAACCCTTAGTTTAATGGTAAAGAATTTAAGTAATTTATACGATTCGCACCTTTGTATCTAAAAAAGACGAATAAATATTAATGTAGCATATTAAACTCCTCACAAATAATATAAAGAGAAAAGTTCACCAATGTCTTTGTGATTTGTTGCAAAATCACTTATGTCTATGTGGTATTTTATTTATTCCATATGTCCCTATAGTTTGTAAAAAGTAAAAAAATACAAGACATTGATAAACTTTTCACTAATATAAAATGGAAAAAATATTTCTGCAGTTACTGCAGATAAGTTATCTGCATTTATTCTCAAAACGATGTCGTTTTGGTATTGAAATCTTAAAAAATTATAAATATAAAGACTATTATAATCCTGAAATAAATTAAACTACAAAACACCATGATTTTTGCCCTAAAACAACGTTGTATTGGGTTACTGCAGACAACTTATCTGCAGTAATTGCAGAAAAAGCGAACTCATATAAAATATATGTATTAACTAAAAACCAGTTCCAACGCTTGGTAGGGTTGTTCGCAGTCTACATTGGATTGATTTTGGAAGCAAAAATCATCTGATCCAATCCATTCGGTTTGATTATGTAATCATCCATTCGGTTTGAATTTTTTTTTTTAAATCCAATCCAATCCAATTTTTTTCGGTTTGGATTGGATTTGTTTTCGATTTTTTGAAAATTTTAAAATTTATTTCATGATTATCGTACAAATAATATCTTTTATATATATTGGTTTTGTAATTTTTTTTTTTTGTAAAATACAAAAACATCAGTAAACAATAATATAGTTTTTTTTTTGGACAATGAGATATGAAGCTCTACACAGATGAAATTTTGTTGATGAGATATGGCTAGATTTTCTCTTGGGTTTAGTTGATGGGTTAATGAGTCTTAAGTTTAGAAATTTTTGAGTTATGATTGGGGAAATACCCAAGTACGTAGAGGAGAATTAATATATTGGATCGGTTTGGATTGGATCGATTTTCATCAATCAATCCGAAAACCGATCCAATCCAATTAAAATTTGCAATTTTTTTTCGGTTTTTAATTTTTCGATTTATTCGGTTATGATTTTTCGGTTCGGTTACCGCAATTTAAATTGATTTGGATCGGTTGATGAACACCCTAACGCTTGGCGTTCGTATTTAGGGAAACATTTTCTCCTTCGTATTTTTTTTTTTTTTTGGTACATTGCCAGGAGGTATTCCCATTCAACCTTCTCCGGGCACCATGCCCTCGGGGTACGGCCCGTTTGGGCTAGCCCCTCATTGTAACAGTGGGTGCACTAAGCTTCGCAACCGGAGAAAGGACGAGACTAATCCCCCAACCGAAGATTTTTGGCTTATCCTCTGGCCCCAAAGATTTTCCAAGAAACTGCTTAAGGCAGAGTTTGATCCCTGCACCAAGCAATCCCTTGGGAGCTCAGCTGCCAACTGGGGTTTTTATCCTTCGTATTTATTTATAACATAAACTGGGGACGATTGGTTTTGGATTTCATTGCAAGTTTAGGAATTTTAAATTAATGACCGACTATAACATATATCATTGGTATTTATCACATATGCATCAGATGTTTTTTTTTTTTTTTTTTCCCTATTCAATGGTATTTATCACATATGCATCAAATATTTTTTTTCCTAATGAAAAAAACCTTCCACAATAATTAATTTCTTTTGTTAAATAACTATCCCTTTTATCCTTTTATCATGTTAGCTACAAAATAATTTTGATGATCTGAAAATTGATGGCTAGACGACCTAGGGACTATTTTGTAATAGTGTTATCTACAAGTAATAAATTATTATTAATAGTCTAGATTACGAAAATGACCAGAGTATCATAGTAATAAGATGTAAGTGGGGTTCTAAATTAAGCATACCAATTATAATAGTTCATACTATTAAATAATGTTTTAAAAGTTTAATCTGAGATTAAATGTTAGATATCTTACTTAGAATCATATTAATTTCTTCTTATTGTGCTTACGAGAAACACAGGATTCAAAGAAAGAGAGAAACTATCAAGCACATTCACCTTAATTAGTAATGGTTAATTTAATACAGTTAAATTTTGATAAAGAGTAAATAAAGGTAGGCACGGTTGGCTAAGGGTTTAGTTTATATCTTTTAAGGATATGGATTCAAATTTCGTTGTCTGATATAAAGTCTTTGTTGGTAGGTGATATGTAACTCTTTCCTGAAATCTTTAAAGAAGTTGAGGGGTCTTCCTTGATCTTAGTGGAATACCGATATCAAATCTCATTTAGACATTTTGTAACAAAAAAAAAATTGATAGAGATAATTTTGTCGCCAATACAATGCTACCGACTAATTGAGTAATCCATAAATTGAGAGCTAGGGATAACATAAAAAAAAAAAAAAAAAAAAAAAAAAAAACAAGGGAGAGAGATAAAGAGAGAAAAGAAACAAACAAACTGAAATTTCAATAAAAACAAATTCTTTTGCACAAAAAGTGATGAACATTGGATTATCAAGGAAAAAAGTGAAGAATAAAGATGCACCCCAAGACATGGCTGATGTATACTATACAACCTTTATGAGTAGTGAACATATTTAGGTATAAAAATATTCTATACATATTTATACATGACAACACAATATGTACTCTGAAACACATCATTGTTGGGAGAACTGAGAGAGTACTCAGCAAAAAAAAGTTGCCAGAAAAAAACAATGACTGAAAAATAGTGGAGAACTTGGAGGAATTTGAGATGAACATGGTGACATCTTTCAAATTGTTTCATTATCATGTCGTCTCATTAGTCGAATTTCAAATCCATTCACTAATCGAGCTGAGGGAAAGAAGGACATCCTATCTTCCTTGATTTGTGTCCATCTGTTCAAAACATCCAACACATCAGCTATGATCAAATTTGCTAATTTATGCTTTAGCCAGAAATTATGGCATGTCCATTTGTAGAATATATAAGCTAGGACAATTCATGGAATTTTATAGGCCATAAAATGTGTCTATTATGAAGATAAATTTTCAGTCGAACATACTAAATGACGACGAGTTTTAAAGTCGTAATAAGATTGTTTTTTGTGACCGGAAGATCATGGATCAAATTTGGAAAACCGTCTCTTTGCAAAAATATAACGACAAGACTTTATATAATCAACCCTCATTTTTATCCCTTACTTAAATTATAGAACATAGATGTTATGTCACAGAGAAGTTGCCAAGAAAATAAATGTAAATGCGGTTTAGATGAGTCCATATGTTATAATTTAAGCAGGTCCAATATAAACTACATGAGGACCCTATTATGCATCATAGAGAAAAATGGCATTACCTGTAGGTAGTTACAAAGTAATGAAGAAAAAAAGCAATTTGAAGACGAGCCAGCTCTGCTCCTGGACAGAATCTAGCACCTCCTCCAAAGGGTGCATAGACTGGACTAGTTCTCCAGTTTCTATTTTCCTTCATTGAGAGCATAGGAATTCAGAAATGAACGAAATGAAGTGAAACGTAAGGACAAAATTATATGCAGTATTCACCAAAATGGTATGTGTACTAACCTCATTTTCAGGTTCCATCCATCTCCAAGGATTGAAGTTTAGAGCTCCATTGTACACATTCTCATCTAAATGTACTGCTGAAAGAAATGGAACTATAAAGCACCCTTTGGGAATCACAAAATCTGCTCAAAAAACATATTAGTGTTAGTAGCATATTATAAAACTCTTATATGCATACTATGGTTGCAATAGTAAAGTGTATTAATATTAACCTATAATTAACATGAAAATTTTTAGAATTTAATTGATATGCACTGTCAATGTAAATAAGTTTTACACTTACATTTAATAATATTTTGACACATCATTATTTACTGCTTTTATTTTAATCAATGAGAGAATCAAATAATGGTATATAATGAAAGGTCAATGCAAAAATCTTCTATACCTTGGTAATGAATGTCTTTTTTAGCTTCTCTCATTAACCAAATTGCAATGCCTCCAAGTCTAAGTGTTTCATCAATAACCTGTTCATGGAAAACAACATGAAACCTTAACACACTGTTCTCTATAGAATATGCAAACTCCAAATAAATTAGTATTTTAGTTAAAATATTTTTGAGATGAAGTATCTCATCAAACATGAGTTCAATACAATCTGATATAAAAAAATAGTTAATCACTTACACATTGAGTGAATGGCATTGCTTTATAATCCTGCCATGTAAGAAATTCTTCTCCAGAATTACTCCTTAGAGAATCCTGTTCATCCTGTCCAAGAGAAAAATTTGCAAAAAAATTAATAAAAAATAGTTTTTCTTCAATTTTTGAATTTTAAACTCTAGGAAACTTACCTAAAGATACTTTAATGTAAAAAAAATAACAAGTAAGGGGAAACAATTTCTAAGATTAGTTATGTTATATATACCAGAAGTTGCTTCATGGCTCTAGGACATTGAGTAAGGAAATAAATTGCAAAAAGCATTGTTTTGGTGGTTGTTTCATTCCCTGCAAAGAGAAGATTGATGATGAAGTCTGCAACAGTATCATCTGGCAAGCTTTCTTCCTCTAGTAGTCTTCCAAGTACTCCATTACCTACTATGGGACCAACATTTTGTCTGTGTACCTCTATGGTATTGTTTATCTTGCTTATGATTTTCTCCCTTGCCTGTAGCCAAATAATGTCACTTCAGTACCATATGACTAGATAACCCCATCTGATCAGATTCCTATTTGAATTATATTTTGCAACAATAATTTCATTACAAGATTAATGACCTAAAAATTTTAATGGGACAGATGGGTGCCCTATGATAAATTTGGGCCTAACTATAGCTTGTGCTTCTATTTGAATATGAATGTAACAATGAGAAGCTAAAACTGAGTATTTCAAGTTTCATTACTTCATAGACTTGATTTCACCCATTGAAGGAGGTGATCCAGAGAATAACAAACTTATTTCTTTAAAATATAGGTCAACATTATATAGTTAAACAATAACTGCTTAATAAAATGCTAGAAAAGATTATTTTTTTCTTTATACTCTTTATATATCAGTGGTTTTAGAAGTTTTCTTGGGGTACCTTCATAGCAGTGTGATATGCAAAGCCTGGGATGTTGATGGGAAAGGATAGACAACCATCAACAAAGTCAGAAAACAACTGAGCCATTTCATTGACTTGAGACTCAGTTGAAACCCCAAATAGTTGATTAACCATTAAATTTATAGCTACCTGCAGTAAATCATGCAGATATTAGTTGAAAATGAGTCACTGGCACTAAATATTGATAATAAACTTACAGACACAAACACCATTCATGAGTTGAAATTACTTACCTTTCTACAAACATCCTGGAGAAGAATGACTTGGTTATTGTCAAAATTGCTCAAAGTTTGGAGCATGACCTTTTGTATATCATTCAAGAAATGGAACTTAAGCTTCTCTAGGCGCATCATATTGGAGGCAATCCCATGTAGTTTCCTTTGTTGCTCTCCTTGCACTGTGATCAAACCATTTTTGCCAACCAAATCTCTGAAAGACTTTGGATAACTTGACATGAATAATTTGCCTTCATTTTGCATTACAAAGCGGTTGAAACTTGGATCTGCTGACACCACTGCCCATTTTCCAAATATGCTGCAAGAAAATATCTTACCATACCTATGCCAAATGAACATTTCATCTATTAGAAAGGTTTCACAAGCCATGTAATTGGATTTTAAGCTTTTGCATATTATTGTCCTGCATAAGTTTTTCTTAATGGTCCCTTCAAAGGGTTTTTCATAAGCCTTATGATTGGATTAATCAGCTCTTGTAAATTGAGAAATTCATTCACCTGTCAATAATTCATTAACTTGCATGACTATTTCTCACTAGCAACTCAAATTCTAAATTTATCCGAATTGAAAACTATTTCGAAGCAAGAATATATTGTATTTTTCTTCTTGTGGCAGTGAGTACCTTTTCACCATTTCTTCAACAAACTGAGGGGGATGAGAACTTGCAACAGCATTGTACCAATTGATGCTATCACCAATCAAAGGCCAGCCTCTCCTTCCTGGTGGTAATCTGCATTTGCTTTTGTTTTCCTTCCTTAACTTGACTTCAATCAACTTTGCAAATATTGCAGTGGCTAATATCACAGTGATCATAACTAGCCATGTTTCTGAAATATTTTCTTTCATTTTCTGTGTCAAATAAAATGGATAATCACATCTCTACCTGAATTGTTTAAATTGAGTATTGATAATGAGCCAGACATGGTACTCACTTGTCAATGCAAATGTGAACTGATTGTTATAAAAAAAAAAATGAAATGCAAAAGGAAGAATTTATCACTAGGAACGTGCTTAGTTGACCCTATGAGAAGATCTTGTAGGGCCACGTTAACTTGGTATGTTACAAGAATAAATCATTCTCAAATCTATTTTTTTTAAAATCAAGTTTGAATATATAAAGATACAACAAAAATCAAATAAAAAAAGGTGGAATAAGATCACAAATGTGAATCCAGTTTCTTGTCTAATATGCAATCTAAGGAGAATCACATATCTACTACTTAACTACTCTCCACAATACTCATACAAAATTTTATAGAAGATTTGCTGACTCTTTCATAATCTCACAAAGAAAACCTCAAATCCTAACAACTAAATGATAGATACTATGAATCTTTCTAGTGTGTGAGACACCCCAAAAAGGAAATGATGAGAATTAAGATAAAAATTGAGAAGGTAATTTTGTTACCAAGTGGTTAATATACCCGCCAGAAAGAACAGTCAAACTCCAAATTCCTAGTGCAAAAGTTATTTAGAATCACCTTATAATCCTGCTGATGAAGTAATAACATACACAGCATGTGAGAATCTGCTGTATATTCCTTTGAAGCTTAGCTAGCTTTGAAGAGAGACATACAGAGAGAAAGAGAGGGAAGAAGTTGTATCATGTAATGAACTTTACAATTGGAATATATAAGGAAAAGGGTCTCTTAACTTGTCCAAAATAGCGCTTTTGGTGTGCATTTAATAGTATAAGGAACTCATTTTTTTCAAATTCTAGAGCACAAAATAAGGTGCGAAATCATCAACTAGTGGATATTCAAAAAAAAAAAAAAATCATCAACTAGTAGAGGTTGTCATCCAGAAAAGTTAGCCTTGAGTTTGACTTGTCCTTTTTACGCTAAGTAGTTGTGCAACAATGCATTAATCAATTTGTCACATTGCAAGTGATGGGCACACCTTTTCTAATAAGAAAAAAACTACATCTTTTAGCAAACACTAGCTTCATATTCTAATTAGAGTATTGCATCAATTGATGCTATAAATAGTAGGAAAAACCTTAAATAGTAGTCATCTAGGACAGACATGATTGACAACCATCAATGTAGGTCACTAGAAGTAGGAGCCACTATTCTCCACAATTGTACTATACTTTTTGTGATATATAAAAAGAAATGAATATTCTTCTGTTACAGGATAATAGTGTCCCCCTTTCTACAGACATATTTCATCATTGGGTTCTATAAAAAAAATTCTCTCACTTCATTCTCTTTTCTCTTCCTTAAATTCTTCTCTTTGCTAGTTACTATTCTTTAGTAACAGAAGAATAGTATTATCCTATATAAAAATTAAGTTTTCACTAAATAAGTGTATAATGAAACATTTTTTTTGATAATTTCTATTAGAACTTCTTCAATCTTCTTAATCAAACTATCTTCTATTTAACATACTTTTTTTCACTTGACCTCTTTATTGATTTATTCCAATTGTGCTCATGTATTCCACGAGAGATCTATTTTTAAACTTTTTTACGACTTAAAATTTATTCAAAAGTTAATTTATTGGTTTTATTTAACTACGCTTTATCACATTTTTAAGTTAACTAGTTAAAAATATTAAAAATTTAATTTTGATGCAGTATTAGTGGAGAAAAAAATACTTACATTCAATAATGGCTTATCATATTATTCAATGAGCTTCACATGTCTTGTAATAATTATTAACATAATCAAACTCATAAACTAAATAATCAACACAAAATTCAATAATAATATAAAATAGTTTTACACTTCCAATCATTATCGTTAAAATCTCGATTTATCACTACGATTTTATGTTTTTACGATTTTTTTTTTATCAAAACGATTTTACTAATATTCCAAACGCTTTTACGTTTTTACGATTTTTTTACTTTACGATTTTACATTTTATGATTTTTTAATTCTCTTTCGATTTTACTTAAGATCTCGATTTTAACAAAATTGCTTTCAATACACCAAAATTGAACTCAATATATTATGTGAGGAAGAAACATTCTCTGTTTGTTAGCTCACAATAATGAGCCTAGGAGAAATGAAAACTCGGGTTATTATGGAGCCACTAAATGAACCAGTCAAAGTAGTAAAGGCTTTGAATCCCTTTTTTAAGGCCTCTTTCCAGGAATCAGCGCCATAAAGTTATGGGGTAAATTATTTAAGCATATATAAATGTTGAAGGCTTATTGGATGATTGATATACACACAATTATTATCTATGCCAGCAAGAACCAGCCAAGCAAACAATGCCAGTCATGTCAGCAAATTAGTGTAGTTTGCTTCAATGGAATACGAAATAATCATAGGGGAATATCATACGGTTAAAGTAAGATTTGTTTTTCATGAGGAAAGTTATATTTATAATTTTCTTTTTTATAAATTTAACTATATACTAAAAATAATATATAAATTAACTCGTATACTATCCTTAATATATACTAAAAAGTAAGAAACATTATTATCCAATCCATTTCACAGCAATTTATTAGTATCGATCTGCTTCTTTTTGTCCAACCGGTTCATTTGAAAACTCAACTAATTTAATTTGGCACGGAAAACAAGCTCTATATCATTTATACCAATAATTATTTGTATATCTATGTGTATATTTCTACTACAATAAGTCCTGTAGCGCTTTGTGCATGTGTTATATTAGCTTATCTAATAGGGCATTTAGAGCATCACATTACATCATTAAATATGTGGATTTAACCAGTGATTCTACCCGACTTGAATAAACATATATGTGTAATATACATGTAAAATGATCCTGACCCATATATATATATATATATATATATATATATATATATATATATATATATATATATATATATTTGGATTAATGTTTCTTATGTTGTATGAGATAAGTATCTTATTAGAAGGTAAAAGAGAGAAAAGGAAAAATATTAATTTCATTGATCGGTAGTCATTAATTTGTACAATATGTGAGCTCTTATATAGAAGAGCATAACAGAAAAGAGAAAGATCTAGAATATTATTGAAATACTAAACTACCCTTATACCTAATATCTGAGAAAGAGTAGCTCTGATGATAAAAATAAATTCACAGATCGGGATCAGATCCGGAAGAAAGGAAAAAAAAATCTCCATTCATGGAGGATAAAAATGCTCTGATACCATATTAGAAGGTAAAAGAGAGAAAAAGAAAAATATTAATTTCATTGATTGATAGTCATTAATTTGTACAATATGTGAGCTCTTATATAGAAGAGCATAACAGAAAAGAGAAAGATCTAGAATATCATTGAAATATTAAACTACCCTTATACCTAATATCTAATATATCTCCTACACATACAAAAAAGTGTGTGGGGCCCATTTTTTTCTTCTTCTTTTCACATGAGTTCTACACACTATATATATATATATATATATATATATATATATATATATATATGTAGGATATTCTATAACATGAGAAATATTAATCTCATATATAAAAGTATCACATTACTCTCTCTGTAGCGTCAGTTTGATATTATTTAGACTGAGGTAAATAAGCCTGAGGTAGGCAATTACAACATGACTTCGAAGTTACAATAATACATGCACACTCCACCCCTCTTCCCTTTCACTCATGCTAATCAACAATTTAATTGCAATTTTCCCAAGCATGATGCTAAGATGCTTTAAGAAATCGAAGATACTATAACCATTGTAGTTCCCTGTTAGCCGCAAGGCACGTACTAGAACAAATATTTTGGCAGTATTTATAAAGAAGTGTTAAAATGTTTTCATTAAGAACATTCTAATGTTGCAGTTGGGAGCTAATATGAAATGTTGATTAGTGAAAGAAACTGAGATACTAGGATAAGATATTAAATTGACGTTGCTTTTGTTTAAAAGAGTTGAAGATTGACAGGTTTCTTGTTTGCAAAAGCCACCACATTAATTTTAATAAACAAGCATCTTGAAGAGTTGAAGTATACAACAATACGTGAGTTATAGTTATCTTGCAGAATCAGCTAGGAGCTGTCATTCTTCAATTTTATACTACTATGCTCTGCCAATGGTTCAGCAACTTGATGAAATCATTCATTGGCGCTATTGTCACAAGCCACACATCTTTGTTTGTTACAAAAGAAATATAGGAGCATCCTACATGATCTAAACAAATACTATTCAACTATTCACGCAGGCAATCGGTCACAACAAATTAAAGCCCTCTCTTTGCTTAACAATTTATAAATGCACTCATTTGCTTCAACATTGATCTTTCTTTCTTTCTTTCTTTTTTCTTTCCCCCTTTTTTTTGTGAAGAGAGACCAATCTTTTTTGGTTCATGTTTTTCACTATATAATACTATGATTTAAAGAAATAAATAATTTTCTTTTCATTTTTAAGACAACATACATGTTCTTTTTACAATTAAGAACCTATGGTCACCACCATTCTAAAAGTCATTTTATTATTTCTCCTTTAAAATAAAGAGAGTTATTAATCTCATGTTGCTTGAGATAATTCTCTTATGTGTGTGAAATAAAAATGTAAAATCCACACTTTAAAACAAAAAGAAAAAGAAATGAAAAAAATTAGCACAAAATTCAATGAGTATATAAAATAAAATAGTTATCTCCAACGAAATGAGAAAAATATTTCCCTAAAATAAATGAGTGAATTTATCTCTAAAGTAAGCAAGTATTGATATAACCATATTTAATTTTTAATAAAGTAAAACAAAATATAACGCATTGCAACCTCCAATTTCCAACCCATTTGATTTATTTAATTCAGATTTGGGACCTAGTCAGCTGAGTACAATAATCTTGTTTCTTTTCAACGGTAATGTTACAAACTAACCGGATATATCAAAGCAAGAATCTCTTCATTAACAGATACCTGACCTCGAACCATCACATTATCCTTATTCAAATACCAACGCTATTATTGCATAAGAAAAAACATGTAGCATTAAAAATAATCGCAATGCTATTAATGAATACTACGCACACGTATAGCAGCAGATCTAATTTTGTTGAACTGTCATTTCATTTTTATATGGGATGGCCTAGAGCAAATTAAACAAAGCTCATCTTTATATCATTTATAACCTGAATTGTTGTTTCTCTTCCACAGCCAGCTATCAAGGAAAAATATATTAAATTTAATTATGTTATATTACATTATATTATAAGAGGAAAAAAAGAAGGTTCCCCTGTCATTTACATACCTTCACGGATTCAGCAATAGGTGACACTGGAACATATAGTGGACGGTCCTAACATAAATGTAGAACACTTGGACGTTTTAATGTGAATGCACAAAGTGATTAATATAAGCAGGATATGAGCATCTGCATCGACTTCTGATCTAGCTCTAAATAACAGTAATTTCTAACCACGGCAATTAGTGCTCATGCTTTGCAAGTTTGTACAAAATAAAGCATATAATTTGGATAAAGGGTAATGAGTATACTTCATGCTGGATGTTAAAAATAAAATTTCAAAAACCTACCTTTTTCTTCAATTTCTATATATGAGTCTTGTGTCTATGGAAAAAAAAAAAAAAAACAAAAAAAACTGCAGTCCTAAAAAATCAATTATTCTCGAGTGCTCTCCAACATGCAAAAGCACCCCCAGCCCCACATCAAAAATATAGATGTGAGGACTGACCTTGGCTTTCTTGCATCCTTGGCATTTCCATTCTCAGCTGCTCAAATTCATACATAAACATAGCCATTTATGAATATAAATTCCGTAGGGGAGTAAATTGCAAGATCGTGCATTTCCTTTCCTATTGTTCACGTCAGAGTGAAAATCATTTACAAAAGCTAATTTACTGGATTGGGAATCAAAGTAGTTTTGATTTTAAGCTAGATGAGACAAATGGAATAGTAGAACTACAAATGCATGTGCAAATGTCTTCCATTAAAAATTGCCAGGTCAAAAATATGCATCTCATGAACCCTACACATACCGTCGGAGCTGTACAATAAGATTGAATTTCTTGCAAGTTGCACCATATACCTTCATAAAGCTTCATTATTTTCTCCAGATATTAATGATGCTATCTGCAAATGACTTCAGATTTCCCCAAAAAGTTGATTTTTCTGAAATCACTGCTACACTGGTCTCCCTACTAATAGAGCTGTCACTGAATATTGGGAGAATGTAAGCAACCTTAATATCCTATACAATATTACTGGAAAGAATAACGACATGAACAGAAATTAAGTGATCTAAGGAAAAGAACAGGAAAAGCTGGAAATATTGTATAGGACAGCTGTATGTTCTTGGCACACGCAACCATTCATTAATACATTTTTAAGGTAGAATACACACAATATTTCCAAAACTCAAGAAGAACTATAATCTATAAATGTACAAAGTATATGTGTACCAGTACCTGTTCTTATGCTCAGATGACTAATGTAAGTACCAGATACATCAATTTTTAATATGTATAATTTCAGGATATTGCAGATATATTTTGGGCATGAAAGTGGGATAATCAACAAAGTCTTTTGTTTTCCTCTTTCGAACCCTTCTTTCAAGTTTTATGACTTTGTGTTTCATTTCATTAGAATAAAATGATACTTACATGTTAATTTTATTGCCCCGTTTATTTTTTAGACTTTAATTAAGACTAGGAAGTAAGAAGAAACATGCTTTTGTTGGTTTTCACATTATTCTGCCTGAGCATTTTGTTGAGTATATAAAACAGTCTGTGCGAGTGTCACTGTGAGTGTTCTTGTTTATTTGAATTGTATTATTGTCAAATAATAAATATTAATTATAATATTTTCTACAAGAATGTTCTTTTGTGCTTCTCTACATCATTGTTTAAACTTTCTATTCAATTTAGAAATTGTTTATCAATGTTTTATGAACAAACACTGAGGAGGGCACATGGAATATTTACCTGTTCCACTACGTGAATCCTAACCACACCCAATTCTGTATGATTCCAAAGTCATAACTAGTACTGGAAAGTCTGGAATAATGCAACTAGTAATAATATAGTACTAGTTGTAATAATAAAGTTGTATATCTAAAGAAATGAGAGGACTTACATTTTGGACTCATCCAGTTCTAAAGACCCTTGAGATTGCTCCATTTTATGCTTCGAACCATCCACACCAGGAAGGTCTTCTAAGGCATCTTGCTCTTTTATCTCGTATGCTGCTTTCTCAAAGCCTTTTTTCTCAGTTGTTTGATGGTTTTCCATATCAACAAACTTAGAATCATGGCTCTGACCTATGCTGCGGCCAGATTTTTCAATAAATGGAGCAGAAACCTGTTCTATTTCTTCTTTTATCAGGTGTCTTTCTGGTGCAACAGAATCAGAAGAACAACTAGACACAGCTTCCCCATTCCTCACATCATTTGGCACCTGGAGACTTGAATGGGAAAGCTCTCCAGACAGGTCTTCCAAGGCAGGTTGCTCCCTTCTCTCATAACCTGTTTTCTCAATGCATTTTTTCTCCATATTTTGATGATTTTCCGCATCAACAAATTCAGATTCATAGGCCCGAGCTTTTCCATAATCAGTACCATAACTTGCACTAAAGGGAGTAGAAACACCTTCTATTTCCTCTTGTAGCAGCTGACTTTCTGGTGCAACAGAATCAGAATAACTAGAAAGAGCTTCCTCAGCCTTAACATCATTTGGCATCTGGAGACTTGATTGGTAAGGCTCCTTAGAACATTTATCCAAAACATTACTTTCAGATGCAATGTAATTATTACCCTGTCAATAAAACAGATGGCAAATTTTAAGTATTACAAGAAAAGCCCTCGTTTCATATAATAATAAAACATATCATTCAATTAATAGTACAAAAACTAAAAATCAATAAGAAAAACAGTGAGGATTGTAGGAAGCCAGAACCAACAAAGGGTGAAACTGATAACTAACAGCATAAAAAGGAATATGATGCAATTTTGCTGGAGTAGACCCATCAGACCATTTATCATTCCTCTGCATTTGTTTGTATGAGAGTTCCCACCAGAATGCATTTAAAATTAATAAAGTTATTCACAATTTACAAGTGCTGCCGATCTTGATGTCAGGTTGAGGATGAAGATAAGGTTATTCAGATATGGCAGTATCTATTAGTCCAAAGCTTTGCAAATTTAGGGTCAGTTTGGCATGGGGGTAAAAATGAAGCAAAATTCATATCTGTTTTCAATAAACTGAGTACTATAAATGACCAATGAATTCTTCGCCCCTAATTTTACCCCATATCAAACTAACCCTTATAGAATAAACTAGAAAAAAAATGAACGAATTTCAGATCAGCAATTAGACATCAAAAGACAGCTAGCTGCATCTTTTGCACTAGTAATGCATTTTCATTTGAACAGAAAAGTGCAAAAATTTGAAGCATAATGATTTTACTTTTTCCGTCTGTCCTTTGAACTATAGTCATGACATTTACATAAACAAGAATGTTCAACATCCTTTTAAACATAACAAAAACCATACTCTGATCAGGTAGGAGCAATACTTATCCATAACAACTAAATTTTTAATATATCCATAAAAACTACAAGTGGTGCTAATTGTCGAATCTTACTGGTGTAGAGATAGTTTCATATTCGTTAGACAACTTTCTCTCCCAAGAGGAAGTCCGTGGCCCTCCCTTTTCTTCAAGATGATCATAACCGGTGTCAACAGTCTCTTTGTCATCTAAAACCACTGACGGAGAAACATCTTGTATAGGCCTGTGTTTTGCAATCTCAGTATTACCAGATGAAACATTGACAGATTCAGTGGTCAGAAGTTTACTATCATCAAATAGCTTTTCCACCAAAATCTCATCCATGCCGTTTGAAGATTTCATTTTAGAATTGTATTTTAGTTCCTGACTGATTTCCCGGACAACATAATAGCTGCCACCAACTTGTTTCTTGATATCCTTTGTAGTTGGAAATTTCCCAGCATTTTCTGCTCTATACCTGCAGAGAAAAAGGAAATTTACTCAACTATTCCTTAACGACTAACAAGAAATAAGAGCACGCCGTCCTACAATAACTGGACTGGGACAATGTTATAAAAAACAAAGGTCATGAGTATTCTCCTTTTCTTTCCTAGTAGAACCTCTGGTTGCATCCTAAGGAATAATGACAATGCACAGATGTGAGAATAAGTACATAAATTGAGTACTCCAACATGAACTTAACCAGAAAATGAACAGAACACCGAAAGGTAGGACAGCTTAAAGAATTTATATCCACACATTATTCTATTGTTGACCACAGACAAAAGTTTAGCAATAAGCAGGACATGTCATCAAAAACAAGCATTTTGTTCAAGCATGGCCATAAGAACAGTTCAATATGTCTTTTTTTTATTCCTGTTACCCCTTATTTATTCTATTACCCCTTATTATCTGTTCAGATGCAACAAAAAAGTAGAGTTCATCTAACATGAAATTGCATTATTTATTTTTGAAATACTTATTCTATAACCTCTTGTGCTTGCAAAATCTATTTTAAACTTCACGCGAAAATATTCTAAAAAAGGGAGGTACGCTGTGATGCATGCATTCCTAATATGCTGAAACAATCGATAAAAAAAGGCCAGGATGCAACATAATACAGGAAATCTCATAAAGTGTTAAATAAAGGTTTTACTTCAAAAGAAACAAAGAAATACTTGTTCACAAAGGACTCCACCATAGCTCTCCGTTCATGTCTTGGAACCCTCTTTCCACCCTTCTGAGCATTTGGTGTCTCAGAAGGTACAGAAGCAGCATATGACCATCCACGCCACTGGACATTTGACGGACCAATGGAATTGCATACCTCAAAGGGTACTGTCAAACAACACAGTAGATATATGATTACATAATTCAATAAAAACAATATCATGGTTGACAGTAATACATTACACTTTCAACCTTTATTCTAAAGAAAGGCATGGCAAAGCAGTAACTGTTACTAACAAGTAGAAAAAAATAATTAAAAATAAAAAATAAAAAATCCACACAGATGCTTCAAATAACACCATAGCATTTAACAGATCAAATTTACGGTAAACTATGATAAGCTTCAAGAAATACATAGATGCTTCAAATAACACCATAACATTTAACAGATCAAATTTACCGTAAATTATGATAAGCTTCAAGAAATGCTTTCCCATAAAATAACAATCAATAGAATGAAGAGAAAATTTTAGTTATATTTCTATAAAATAATTCAATGATGTATGTGTAAATACTACAAAACCCAATATTTTAAGGCTATGTTAGGAGAGAAAGGGCAGGGAAGGTTAATTTTTCAATTTTAAATTACGAGGGTTATAAAATGTTTATAAAAATGAATAACAGAGATGGGTTATTTGATAGTTTCTCAAACTATTCTGCGTGCTTGAAAGCAATCATCAAATAAGACCTTATTTACTTAAAATAAAAAATTTACCCTCCATTCCCTTCCCTTTCCCTCCAAAAAACTCAAATGGAATGGTATTAGTTGCTATTGTTTGGATAGTTTAAAATACGATGGAATGGAATGGAACCTGATGAAATCTATTCCATCCCATTCCATCTAATACCTCTGTTTTTCTTTCCCCAATTTAGGAGTATTAAATAGAACCAACTTATTATTTACTAATCTTCTTATCATTTCATTCACTTCCCAAACAATGGAATGAGGACTTTCCTCCATTCCATCATAAAATATCCAAAAAATAGTATGGTAATTTTATTCCATTCGATCTCATCCCATCCCATTCCATTCCATTCCACCCATCATAAAATATCCAAACATAGCCTAAGAAAACGTAACAAACAAAAAGATGTAGCTTCAAGGCTCAATGTCATTGACCTAATTCCCCATTCTAATTCAGTTTCATCACTTTCATGGCAGATGAAACAAAAGATAGCATCCAATTCGTTAAAGCACCATGAAATAGCATCTAAAACAATGCGATTGATCAATGAGCTTAGTTTCATGTCTACGTCCGACAAAAACAACAAAACCTATGCCTGAATAACAACAAAAATCCTGAATAATAATTTGAGAAAACCTGTAAAAAAATGTACATGGATGAAAAACCGGGAGATAAGAAGAGCGAAAACTGAGAGGAAGTGAGAGAAACATAGTGTCATAAACTCTGAAATCAGAAACTGAAAACCACATTTTGTTATTTTGTTTTGTTACAGTGAGTTGAATATGTATAGTGCAGAAGTGGATATCTAGAATCTAAACTAATTCTGTTAGATAATGAACTAATTCTGTTAGAAACTGTCCTAGTCAGTTAGAATCGGTTACATGTGAGAAACTGTTAGAGGATTGAGTTACAAACAGATTCTGAATAAGCAATAAGCTATTCTATACTATTCCTAACTAGGCTTAGTCTCCAATAAAACCTAGCAAACGGAAAGCACAAAGAAGCAAGAGAAGAAAATGAGAGAACAATGGAAGAAAGTTACCGTGTTTGGGTATGGGAGTGAGGTTGCGATTGGAGCGGAAGGAGAGGGCGATTAGAAGTTTCTTCCTCATCTGTACGTTACTCTCCGATGTGATCCTCTGCAACTCCAACTTCCATATTCATGATCTTAGACAGAGTGAAACAGGGTTTAGGGCTTTGCAGCTTCCTTCATTCAAATCTCAAAACGCGCAGAAATGGAGCGTTTCGCCGTTTAAGAATTCAATCCCCGCCGTGAGTCGGATCTAACCCGCTTAACTTTCGGGTTTACTTTGTGTTTTCTTAATATTTATTTTTTAAATTGAGTCTAAATTCGGAAAATTAATCTACATAAATTTTTATTTTATTATTATATACACTTAAAATGAAGACTAAATACGCTTTTGGGTCTCTAACAAAAAACACAGTCCCCAATTTAGTCCCTTACAAAAATAGATTAGTCAGTTAGTTCCTAACAAATTTAAAGTGGACTCATTTTAGTTCTTTTGAGGAACTAATATGGGTCTTTTTTAAATTTGTGAGGGACCACGATTTCAACTAAATGGGTCCACTTTGAATTTGTTAGGGACTAACTGACTAATTTATTTTTGTAAGGGACTAAAGTGGGGACCGTGTTTTTCGTTAGGGACCAAAAATAGTATTTACTCTAAAATGAAAGCAGATAATGTGAAAAAAGTAATTAGAGGTGATAATATGGGTGGGCTCACCCCAACTCGCCAAAATGGGACGGGGCGGGATGGTTCCCCTTTGAATGTGGGTTCAAAAATTTAACTTATCACGTTTTATAGTGGGTTGGTAGGTCAACTCGCAATTTAAAAAATAAAAAATAATTAAAATTCAAAAATAATTTACTCCCATTAATTTTTTTCAATCTCAATTTTAAATGTATATTAACTTATTCATAATTAATTTTTTCCATATCCATAATTAATTTTTTCCATTAACCTATTCACATTGTCCCTAAACTCTGCAAGTTGATGGTTTTCATTAACCCTCCGCCTCTTGTTAATTGGGACAGCATATGGAGATGGACAGGTCAAGAAAGGATTAAATTCCTTATTTGGAAGATGCATCATGAGAGATTGCTCACCAAAGATAGAATTGCAAAATGGAGCAATTCTTCTGATAAATGTAAATTCTGCCCTGACAAAGTGGAAAGTTGTTTACATGTTTTTATAGACTGCTCTAAAGCAAAGAACATTTGGTGTCTTCCTATCTTTCAACCCCTGCCTACTGGGTTCTTTATTGTTCATCAGTTTGGTGATTGGATGAATTTGAGTACAAAGCTGATTAAATTTCAAGCAGTTGATTGGAGGACTATTTTTTTATGGTGTGTAATCTTCTTTCGAATTGGAGAAATAAGGACCTGCATGAAAAGGGATTTATTAGACCTGACAATCCCACCAGCCTTATTACTAACCATATGGAGGAGTTGAAAGATGTCAGGTTGAAAAAAGAGGAAAGGTCAATCAGAAATCCAGATGTGTTTGCGTCTACCTCTTGGTCTCGGCCTGCTCAAGGATGCATCGATGATGCTATTATTAGAGCAAGGGCTGCTTGTGGAGGCATCCTTCGAGACTCCAATGGAGCTTGGGTTGGTGGCTTCTCTAGTTTCCTTGGCTCTTGTTCTCCCCTGCAAGCAGAATTATGGGTTGTGTTCCATGGTTTATCAGTCGCTTGGAACCAGGGCTGGAGAAATATTGAAATGGAGACTGATTCTATTCAAGCTTTAAGCCTTCTTACCACTTCTGGTATTGATTCTCAAGAGCTCCCTTTGGTAGCTAAGTTTCGAGATTTTTTAGATAAAGACCGGTGTTGTTCTCTTTCTCATGTGCCAAGAGCTAACAACAGGTGTGCGGATTGGCTGGCAAAAGAGGCTAGCAACAGAAGTTTTGGCCTTAATTTGTTCTACTCTACCCACTTGGATCTAGTTAATCTCCTCACTGCTAATACTCTTGACCCTGGAGAATAGTTTGCTGCTTCTACTTCTGAAGTTGTTACTGTTTATTCTGCTTAAGTTTTTTTGTTGTTGTTCCATCTATTTTCTTTCTTCTTTTCCTTGGGGCTCAGCCCCTTATTGTACCAAAAAAAAAAAATATTTAGTTAGATATTCTTTAAGAACGCATTTTTACCACTATATATGGATAACCTCTGTTATAACTAAAATTTTTCTTCTTTATTTTTTTGGGGAATACTAAGATAAAAAAAAGTTGGATATCATAAAAATTTAATGACAAATAAAATACCACTTAATAGCAAAAAAAAAAAAAAATAACGTGAGCCAACCTGCCCCTAACCCATTTTGACCCATAACCTAGCGGGGCGGGTTGGGATGTGTAACCCAACCCATCCCACTTTGGCAGGTTGACTTATCTAGTTCAACTCATATTGTCACCTCTAAAAGTAAGAATCCAACTATAGCTACATTTTGAATATCAAAGAGTAAGTAAACAAATATTCAAAAAAAAAAAATAAATAAATAAATAAATAAGTAAGGTGCTAAAAAAAATAGGAAAAACTTCAAATACCCCATTATGGTTTGCTTTTAAATCACTTATCCCTATGCTTTTTTTTCTTTACACCCCTATACTTTTTCCATCCAAGTCTTTGCTTAACAGTGTTAAAATTTTTAATTAATATGACTATTTTACTCTTTTTATAAATATACACTTCAGCAACCTTGTGCCATCTTCTTCTCCAAACTTTGCAAGGGTTTTTTATCATATAAAATTTCTCTAATTTTAGACAATTTATAAACTCCCTTTACATTCTTTATTTTTTCATGGAGTATCAAGGTGCAGCTTCAAAACAAACAATCCTACTTGTTTTACATCACTTTGTTACCTTCTCATTTAGCAATCAGGCAACAAGCCAGAATGTCATCACAACACACATTCTTTAACATCAAAAATATAGTCTACTATTCTAATCTCCACTCAAATCCCAACAAGAGGCTGGTAGTAAATCTCATTACCAAGCATATTTCAAACGGGATCTAATGGTTCAGGCATAATATCAAACAAGTTAAGAGAAATTAAACAAGCATCACAAAATCAAATTAAAGTAACAATTGGTCCATAATCTCATTTAAAGTTTAACAGGTGGGTCTTTTCCATTGCAAGCATTAACAGACACAACAAGCACAATGGCATATTCACATTCATCCTATTACTCAAGAAGAAAATAGTAGAATAATAACTTGAAATTTTGCACTACAAGCGAAGGGGAAAGGGAAAACAACACATAGAAAGAGAAAAGGAAAGGAAATTTCTTATGAAACTAAGTTTTCATTATATGAAAAATATTATAATGCAAAAGTGAGTACAAAAGTGCAGCTACACACTTATATAGAAATGCAAAGAATACAAGTAAGCTTTACACGTAAGCAAAGTGAGAAACAAAAACTAATAGACAGACTAACCAAAAGTAGTTTTGGAACTAAAATCAGTTACATGAAATTATCACGTGCATGAAACTAGAGAGCTATGTTCCTTTGGTACTTGGCTCGAACTCTCTTTTGCCTTTTCTATATTATTATATTGTATTAATCCACCCCCCAACTCTCGCACTCGCGCAAGTGGGATGCTGTATGACGAGGAATCCTAGCTTGGAGATGATAGAAGAGAAAGAAGGAAATAGAAGAGCTTTCGTAAACACATATGTAAATTGCGTTGCGGAAGGAACATGGGACAAACATAGAAGACCAGACTGCAATTTTTCTTGAGTAATGTGGCAATCCAATTTTATAATTTTTTAGCGTTCATGAAACGCTGGATTGTGAGCTAAATAGATTGTAAATCTATGGTCATAAAAGACGGATGCAGGCTTCTGAGAAGTAAGACGAAGATCATCAAGTAGAAACTGAAGCCATTGTAACTCATATGAAAGGCTAGCTAATGTCTGATACTCAGCCTCAGAAGAGCTACGAGAAACAGTGGATTGCTTTTTAGACTTCCATGACACAAGCAGTGGCAGAGCTAGGAAAAAAACCTAGCCAGTACCAAAAGACTCAGCCAGGTAGAACCCAGTCAGTGCCAAGGTTGTATTATTTTTAAAAACCCAACTAGTGCCAAGCTTGTACCTTAATTTTTAAAGAAAATATGTACCATTTTTAAAAATTAGCTGGCTGGTGCCAAGGCACCAGCGAGCTACCAAGTGGCTCCATCACTTGAGAAAAGAAAATGACCAAGGAACACAAAAAAATAAGTGATAAATCTTCTAATATCGGGGCAACAAGCCTGATCAAAGTCGGCCAAACCTGAGACATGAAGATCTTTTTTCAAAGGGAAAAACAACCCTTTGGTTGGACAACCCTTTAAGTAACGAAGAACTCGAGTTGCAGCTCAATGATGAGAAGTTATTAGGGCGGAGACAAACTGACTAAGCGGCTAGACCGCAAAGCTTATGTCTGGTCTTGTAGTTAAATAAAGCAAACGAACAATGAGTTCTCTATAAGCTGAAGCATTTGAAAAAGGATCACCATTTATCCTATGTAATTTGATCCAAGGATCAAGTGGAGTAGAAGCTGGTTTAGCAACTAACAAACCAGCATCTGCAAGCAGCTCTAGGGCATACTTGCATTGGTTAACAACAACACCTCGATGAGATCGTGCCACCTCTAAACCCAAAAAATATTGAAGAGGCCCCAAGTCTTTAATATAGAATTGCTGATCAAGGAACAATTTTACCCGATTGGTTTCATTAACTAAATCACTAGTAAGCATGATATCATCCACATAAACCAACAAAGCAGTGAAGGAACTCAAAGTATGATGGAGAAAAAGAGAGTGATCATCACTTTATTGTACATAACCTAGAGATTTGAGGGAAGTGGACAATTTTGAGCACCACTGACGACTAGCTTATTTTAAGCCATAGAGAGATTTGCGCAACAAACAAAATTTCCCAAGTGAAGTAGACAAGCCTGAAGGAGGTGACATGTAGACTTTTTCATTAAGTTCGCAATGTAGAAAGGCGTTTGATAACTCATATTTTATTGCACTTATTTGTTACTCTTGATTAGTATTTTTAGGATTTATTTGAATAAAATAATGATTTTTTTGAGTTAATTTAGATTTTTAGTTTTTGATTGGGTTTAATTTATTTTCGTCAGAATTTTTCAGCTTTACGTTACTTCTGTATTTTGGCCATATCTCGGTTCGCAG